CGGCTGTGCCGGGCCTCGGGGGAGGAGGCTGCCAGGATGGAGGGACAGGGTAGGAGACGGGCCTACTCCCCACACTGCCCTCCCTCCCCCAGCTGCTACCGGGGTGGGGACGTGGGTTCCTGCTCCGCTAAGCCCTGCAGCTTTTCTCCTCTAAAGCCTGATTACTCCGGCGGTGCCTGTGCGTGCGTGCGTGCGTGCTCGGGAGGGGAGGAGGAGGAATTTCACAACAACAAGTGTTTGCAGCCACGCTGGGCCCAGCTGCCCCAGAGCCGCCCCGGGGACAGTGGCATCGCCCTTGCTCTGGGGAACGGTGCCAAAGGGGGGGGCTTTTGCCATCACTGCCTGTGCTGGAGTGGCTGGTGGCCTGCGGTGGGCGTGCATGCAGGGCACACGGGACATGGCAGGAGGTCAGCAATGAGGTTCAGAGGTGGATCCTTATGGGGCTTGGAGGTGGACACCATCACTGCCCATGGGGTTTGGAGGTGGATGCTTTGACTCCCCGTGGGGTTTGGAGGTTGATGCCATGGCTGCCCATGGGGTTTGGAGGTGGACACCATGGATGCCCCTGGGGTTCAGAGGTGGACACTGTCACTGCCTATGAGGTTTGGAGGTTGACGCCGTGGCTGCTCATGGAGTTTGGAGCTGGATGCCATGGTTCCTTATGGGGTATGGAGGTGGATGCCATGGCTCTCTGTGGGATTTGGAGGTGGATGCCGTGGCTGCCCATGGAGTTTGGAGGTGAACGCTGTGGCTGCCCATGGGATTTGGAAGTGGACACCACGGATGCCCCTGGGGTTCAGAGGTGGATGCTGCAGCTCTTGGTGGGGCTAGGAGGTGGATGCTGTGGCTCCCCGTGGGGCTTCTTTCCCCTGCCCAGCACTGGTGTGCAGCGCTGGCCTGGGAACAAGGGTCCAGGAGAAGGAGGAGTAAGAGGAAGAGGAGGGTGTGTGGGGCAGCCCAGCATCATCGTCAGCATCCACCAGGAGAGTCCAGGAGGGTGCAGGAGCCAGGGCACAGCCCTGCATCCAGCTGGGGGGGACAGGGGGGCTGCAGTTTGGGGACCGGATGCCCTTCACACAAGCTCCAGCTGCTGGCTCGAGGACATCCCATGGGCACCCACGGTCCCATCTGGCATGGGGGCCACACGGTGCTGGAGCAGAGCAGGAGCTGAGCCCCGTGACTTCCCTGAGGGAGGAGAGCCGGGCACAGAGAGCCTTTAAGGCACTGAGTGCCATTGCTCCCAGGCCAGGACTTCCCTGGTGACCCCCCGTTTCTGTCTGCAGGGCGATCCTTTTAGAGAGCAGCGGAACGGATCTCCACTGAGGTCCGTTCCCCGGAGTTTCTTTGTTCACGACGCTGAGACTTTCATGGCAGGGGGAGGAAGAGCCGCTTTGAAAAGCCCGTTGGCTCTTGCCAGCGCTAACTCTCTTTTCTTTTCTACTTCCAGAGCCGCATGGTGTGTACCAGAGCCGCAGAATATGTCTTTGCACTGAGATCGGACTGAAGTCCTCTGCAGCCGACGCTGGAGGAGACGCCCCGTTGATGCGTGTTCCCATCTGAGCGTTCCCCGGTGGCTGGCGGGCTGGTGCTACCAGAAGGGCTTTGGGGATCTTTCGCTTTGGCTTTGGGGGTGGGTTTTTGGGGTTTTTCTTTTGTTTCCCTTTTTTTTTTTTTTTTTTTTAAATTTGGGGTTTGGTTTTGTCGCTGTGCTCCGGGCACCATGTCAAATTCGGGCTCCCATCAAGACACTGGGAACAAGCCAGAGACGGAAAAAAATAACCAAGATGACTCTCAACCCCCCGTCAACTCCGAGAGGAGGAACAAAAGTGGAATAATAAGTGAACCTTTGAACAAAAGTCTTAAGAAGTCCCGTCCACTCTCCCACTATTCCACCTTTGGTAGCAGCAGCTCGGTAAGCGAACATTCAGAGAAAGGCAACCCCTTAGCTAATGGCAACGACGCGACTGTGGATAAAAGTCATTCTACCTCAAAGCACAAAAACATCTCTAGTATGCTGAGCAAATTAGACCGGGTGTCGGAGATCTCCTCAGAAGGACAGACCGCCCTACAACAGTTTGCTCAGTCGACAGAAATGCTCAAAAGAGTGGTACAGGAGCATCTTCCTCTAGCGAGCGACCACGGGACTGGTCTCTCTGACATGGAGGCGGTCTCAGCTGCAGAGACAATGAACGGCCCCTCTGATTTTCCTTACCTGGGGGCTTTTCCCATCAACCCAGGCCTTTTCATTATGACCCCTGCCGGCGTGTTTCTGGCAGAGAGCGCGCTCCATATGGCTGGCTTGGCAGAGTACCCCATGCAGAATGAGTTGGCATCTGCCATCAATTCGGGGAAAAAGAAACGGAAAAGATGCGGCATGTGCCCGCCCTGCCGAAGACGGATAAACTGCGAGCAGTGCAGCAGTTGTAGGAATCGCAAAACTGGCCACCAGATTTGCAAATTCCGAAAATGTGAAGAACTCAAAAAGAAGCCTTCTGCAGCACTGGAGGTAACCGGCCCCTCTCAGGCACCCTAACCCCTCCTCAGGCTGCGCTCCTGGGTTCGGATCTTGCCCTAGATAATAAAACACCTGGTACTTCTTACTTTTTTTATTTTCCCCTTTTCCATTCGCAGTTCTCCCCGTCAGATGTGCGCTCTGCCCAGTGCCCCCAGTCCTGGCCCTCCCATTCATACTGGGGTTGACTGGCTTGGGGAGGAGGGGCTGGGGTCTCTCCATGGGGTACCCTGGGTGGCAGTGGGTCACTGATGGAGTTTCAGTTTTCATCCCTTGTTGTGGGTGAAATGCAGCTCTCTGAGCCATGGAAGGGCTGGTCAGGGGATGGGGAGGCAGGAGGTGGCATTTTGGGGCAGAGCTTGGGAGCAATTGGTGACAGTGAAACCCATGGCTGTGGCAAAGGGGTAACTCAGCCCCTTAGCGTGCTCTGCATGGTGGTCCCTGATTTTGGGTGGTAAACAGTGTGTTCTGGGCAGCATCTCTCATGCTGTGGCCATGCTGGGTCTCCTTGGACCAGCATCCATCTGGGGGGTCAGGATGAGCCCCTGGGGTGCAGGCTTTGGCACCCAACTGCGCTGGGAGCATCCCTGCTCCTGCTGCACCCAGCAAGGTGCCTGGATCCCATGGTGTGAGGCTTTAAGGTGGTACTCAGGCTGTCACCGCCACCATGGACCACGTGTGGGTGTTGCCCTTGGTCTTGGAGGAAAACCAATGCAAGGTGCCATTGGGTTGGGTGCCACCTTGCCAGGTCCTTTCTGTGCATGGGGAGGACAGGTCCTGTGGCTTGGATCACCGTCTGGGTCTGAAATTCAGCCTGGGGGCCGTGGGTGGCTGCTGATGGCTTGGCGTAGGCAAGGGGTGGGTGCTGGCCTTGCTGCACACCCATGGGTGCTCTAGGCCAAGACTTGTCTTGTCGGGTCCCCTGCGTGTGGTGCTGAAGCCAGGTTTGATCTTTCCTGGAGCTGACCCTGTGCATCCCCAGAGCCAGCAAAGGCTAAAACGTCACCTGGGCATCACCCGAATCGCACATCCTGGCACGAGGGCATTGCCCATCCTCTGGTCATCCCAACCCCACTGTTATCTTAGCTGCGTTCTACGTTTTTCAATTAGCATCAGCTCTGAATGAATAGTGAAGGGGGGTAGAAAAAAAATCCTATTTGGGTGGTGGGGATGAGGAGAGGGGGACTGTGTCTTTCAAAAACCGCTGTATTGCTAAATTATATTCTTGTTCTAATTTGCTGAGTCAGTGATCTGGAAAAAGGGAGAAAGTGAAAAAGGAAAAAAAAAAAGTTCATCTCTTCCAGAGAGTCCAAAAGCGGGTCAATAGACTCAGAGCTCGCAGCAGCCAGAGGAGTCGCTCCCGTCTCCTGGCACTGCGTCGGGTCTGGGGATGATAAATAGCCCTGGGAGCCCATGAAATGGTCATCCTGTGATTGGTTTCTCCATTCCGCAGCTGGCTGAGAAATGGGAACCACTGAAATAAGGATCTTCATGTGATAGAGTTGGGCTGCATCATTGGGTCCCCATCCCTCCCATAGGTGTGTTGAGGCTGGAAGGAGATGTGCTGGTGAGGATGGATGCCTGGGCAGAAGTGGGTCGCTCCAGGGCATCACCATCCCCTTTTCAGAGCAGATCTCCCCTCTCTCAGGATACCCACTTGTGCCATACATTGACTTTGGTGGGGAGGAACAAGACTATGGCCGTATATGGCTGTGACACGGGCCCTGAGACCCCCACTGGTGTCCTAGGGTCACCTGGGTCAATGTCTGGGTTGTTAAACCTCACCCTGTGTCAACCAGCCTTGGTAATGCGTTGTGTTGGGTCAACCCTAGGGCAACCACTGGCTCCTGCCTTGTGGTAGAGACCTGTCTGGATGTGGTGGTGGTGGCTGGGATGCAGAGCTTATCACACCACAGTGCTTGATAATGGGACAGGAGGGGCTATTCAGTGGCCTTTTATATGGGGCTGAAAAATTCATAGGGCTTTGTAACGCATCATCCCCCATTGCCCAGGAGAAGAGCAACCATCAATGACTCTGGTGGGCCAGACTGGTGAGGCCAGCAGAGCATCCTCAGAGAGCCCGGACAGGGGCCACAGCTGTGATTAAATGTTGATCTAAAATCAAGCAATAAAAAAAAATAGAATTAAACCTTAATGGCAGCATAAAAAATGGGCTAAATCCCTCTGCTGCCGTTAAGCTTTATCTGCACATCTACAGAGCCTGAATAACCGGTCACCACTGGTGTCCCAGTGCAGTGGTGGCCGGCTGAGGCTCTAAGACCAGAGAGGCGGGTCGGATGCTCGGAGCAGGCAGCAGCACGGCTCTGCATGGACCAGGCTCCTCCGGGCTCTGCCAGCCCCAGCAACCCCTGGTAATGCCATGGGACTGGTGGCCAGCCCTGGACAGGTCACTCTGGGCTTGTCTCCAGAGTTGTAGGTCACACAAAGGCCATAAATAGTCAGGATTTGACTCAGCAGAGCTGTCTTCCATCTGGGGAAGCCGTGGTGAGGTGCCTTGGTGCCCCAGCTAGCGCTGGTGTGAGGGTCACTTCGTGGAGAAAGACTTTTCACCAAGGCCTGCTGTGACAGGACAAGGGGCAAGGGTTTAAAACTGGAAGAGGGCAGGGTTAGGTTGGACAGAAGGAAGAAATGCTTTGTGATAAGGGTGGTGAGGCACTGAACAGGTCAGCCTCAGAAGCTGTGGGTGCCCCATAATGTTCAAGGCCAGTTTGAATGGGGCTTTGAGGAACCTGATCTAGTGGGAGGTGTCCCTGCACATGGCAGGGGGGTTGGACTGGATGGTCTGTGAAGGTCTCTTGTAATCCAAACCCTTCTGTGATCCTATGATTGTGGGGATGAGTGGGAATCTGTCCTGGGTATCCACATCAAAACTGGTTGTCCATCTTCCCGTAGTAATGAAGGAGCAGAGGTGTTTAAGGTGACCTGTACCAGACATTTCCATCCAGACCCATCAGGAGCCCCCTCTCTCCTCGTTCCTCTCCCCTGGGATGATGTACCTGAGTAGGTGGTCCTTGCTGGCGAGTTCACCACGCTCTGCCCTGCTGGGTCTGTATCTGGTGGGTGGGATGTGCCGTGTCACAGCCGCGTGCATCATTGCCCAGGGACACTTGTGTCCTCCCCAGGTGCCTGATTCCATATTGCAGAGTCCTTTGGGGAAGCGATGATGCCTGCAGCTCTCTGCTTGTTGACTGCCCCAGCTCAGTTTTTCCTGAGGACCGAACAGGGACCAGGAGCAGGAGAAGGTGCAGTCTGACAGCAGCCAAGCTGGGCACCACCTTCTCTTGCCCATCCTTGCCTTTTGCCCCTCTCCCCTTGCCCAAGCCCTGTGTTGTGGGTCATGGTGCCTGTGGAAGTGAGCACAATGGGGTCCCACCCCATCAGGGGTGGGGGGAGATGCTGCTCTCATTACTCATTGAGGTTTGGGGGGTGTCTTGATCCTAGAGGAGGACCTGATGAGAGCTGGCTGGGTCCTGCGTGGGATTAGGGACCTGGATGTCGTGTGGTTTTGACTGTTGGATCAACACATGAGGTGCTCAATGCCAGGAGCTGGTGCTGGGGCTGGCTGTGCCCCCTACCATCCCATGGCAGCCCAGCTTGTCACTGCAGCCTGTGGCTTGTTTCCTGTTGGCGTCCCTTGCTTGTTTGGAGATGCAGGAACCTCTGAGGCACATCCTCTTGGTGATGGTGTGGCCCTATCTGCTGGCTAGCAAGGCCTGGCCTTCCTTGGGGGACTGTTGACATTGAGAGATGTTGTGATCCTCCCATTGTCTCATGAACATTGTGTGGGCTTCCCAGCCCATCCAACTGGGAAATGTCCCAGGACATGTCTGCATAGCCCATGGGGCCATTGCCCCACACCACCTTTCCTGGAGGTGGCTTCAAAGAGGTCTCGTCTGTTTTTGGGCGCTTTGTTGTGTGTAGGATTGAGCCTGGTGGGACTCATCCCTCTTCCCCTGTGAGATGCCAAGAAGTCCCCAGTGGTGCCTGGGGCTGCTCTGTTGGGGACAAGGTTGTTCATCATGGCCAGGCAGCAGCTCACTGATGTCACCTGTGTCCCAAGCAGCTCCCAGATTTGGTGTCCCAGCTTCCTCCCTGCCTCAAGTTTCCCTCCAGATGCCCTCCTAAACCCATCGTTTGGCTGGGCTCCTGTCGGTGGCCGGGGCAGTGGGGACTGGCAGCGCGGGGGCCACCGTGCCGGACCATGCCGGCTCACCACGGCCCGGCCATTGTGCTCGCTATCGGCCGAGG